AAAAAAAAAAAGCCCAGGGGCAGACTGCAAGAAAGCCTATTATGCAGGGTTTGGAGGAAGAGCTAGGCCAGGAGGGTCATCTAGGGAAAACTCTTAGCTGTCCATGGAGCAGGTGTTGAGGTGCCTCAGAGTTAGGGACGAGGGTGGCTGAGGAGAATTGTTCCCCAGTTTGTTCTCCAGGTGCATCCCCTGTTAGACTTAAGCCCCGCCACAGAGAGACGGTTAGCACAATAAGTGAAAGAACGCAAGTCCGGAATTGTGGCTTCGTGCCTGTAGTCTCAAGCTGCTTGAGAGGTGTTGGGTGAGGATGGCTGTGCGCCATGTTGGGGCAGCACCAGGTGTTTAGTTTAGGAAGAAGAAGGAAGGGAAAGAAGGGATGAGAGAGAGGAAGGAGGAGAAAGAAAGAAGAGAGAGAAGGACGAGATGAGAGAACACCAAGAAGAGAAGGAAAGAGCAAGAAGGAATGGCAAGACGCCGGAAAGAAAGAGAAGGAAGGAAAAGGTAAGGACAGGAAGGGAAGGAAGAGAGAGAGGAAGGAAAGAAAGAGAGAAGAGAGACAAGAAAGAAGAAGAGGAGTAGGAAAGAAAAGAAAAAGAAAGGAGAGAAGGTATGAAGAAAAGGAAAAGGAAACAAAACACCTCGAGCGAGGAAGACGAAAAAGAGAAAAACGGAAAGGAAGACACGCGAAGAAGAAAAAAATGCTAAGAGAAATGTAAAAAAAAAACTCCAGGATATTTTTTGGGCTTTTTTTGTTACTTTATTCTCTCTCGTTCTTTTAATTTTTTTGAGACGGACAAACAAAAAGTCCTCGCTCTGTCGCCCTGGCACCCACGTACACAGATTTGCTAGTGGCGGATTCTCAGGCTCACTGCAAGCTCCGCCTCCCAGCGGTTCCAACGCCATAATCCTCACGGCACCCTGCCCCAGACCCTCCCGCAGTTCGTGAAAGCACCCTCATGCAGGCCCGCCACCCTCCCACGCCACAGGTAGCTTTTTCTACATATCTTTTAGTCAGAAGCAGGACGCGCTCCCTTCCACCCAGTAGTCTAACCAAGCCAGAATGGTCATCGACTCACTGACCCTCGGTCTATCCCGCCCGTTCGCGCCTACCCAAGTGCATGCGCGGAATTACAGGCTTGAGCCCAACCACCAGCAACCCGCGCCAGGCTTTATTTTCTAAATATATCAAAATTGAGATGGCAGAAACTTCCTCATGTACCCAGACTGGATGCGGTGGCACATTCTCGGCTCCACTGCAACGTCCGCCCTCCCAGGTTCAAGTAATTGCTGTCTCAGCCTCTCGCTACTGGGGATACAGGTACACCACCCACCAGTGCCCAGCTAATTGTTTTGTATTTTTAAGACAGGTTTCACATTTGGTCAGGGTTGGTCACTCACCCTGCTTCCCAAAGTGCTGGGATTACAGGCATGAACCACTGCACTGGGCTTGTTTTTTTTTTTCTTCTTTTTTCTTTTTGAGACGTAGTTTCGCTCTTGTTGCCCAGGCTGGAGTGCAATGGTGCGATCTCGGATCACTGCACCCTCCACCTCCTGGGTTCAAGTGATTTTTCTGCATCACACTCCCGAGTAGCTGGGATTACAGGCATGTGCCACCATGCCCAGCTAATTTTGTATTTTTAGTAGACACAGGATTTCGCCACATTTGTCAGGCTGGTCTTGAACTCCTGACCTCAGGTGATCCATCCGCCTCAGCCTCCCATAGTGCTGGGATTACAGGCATGAGCCACCGTTCCCAGCCCATATTTTCTGAATTTTCTACAGTAAACCTTTGTACCTAGTAAGAGGCACTTTGCTAGGTACTGAGAATGCAGTGTTGAGCACATATCTTGTTTCTTCGATCGTAAATTAGTTTTTGTACTTTATTATTTCTGTCCTACTTTATTTATGGTTTTATTCCCTTCCTTTCTTCCTTCCTTCCTTCTTTCTGCTCTTTCTTTCTTTCT